GCACCGGTCGTCGTCGTGATCACCGACGTGGCCGGCCACCTGGTCGTCGAGTAATTGCTGGTGGCGCACTGCAAGAGTCCTTGAGATCCCTGGGGCGAACGAGCGGTGATCGTGGTCGTCGAGGCGCACTGTTCCGCCGGCGATGGCGACACAGCTGGCGACCTTGGACTGGTCTCACCGCGCATGATGTAATTGTGGATGATATCCGTGCGTTTCAGCTGCTCGGCCGTCATCCGAGGACCCTCCATCAGGCTCCTGGCTAGGGTGGAGTGCGTGCTGCTCAGCAAGCTCGCGGTCTGCGGACACTGAGCTGCCTGCACCTGGTTCGATGGGCTCCGCGCAGGCGGCGAGGTCAAATGGAGGTGCAGCTGGGATTGCGTGTGCTGGACGATCACGGCCGGCTCGGCCTCTGCGCTGTCCTTTTGCCTGAGCGCGCGGAACTTCTTGTGCGGCTTGTACGCCTCGTCCATCAGCGAGTTGGTGTCATACAACGGAGGCGCTTGCAGCACCCGCTTCAGCACCGGCATGTCCTCCACTTCCTTGTCTTCGGACCTGGGACTGGAGCAGACCGAGGTGGGCGCGCTGCTTGCGCTGCTGCTCGCCGGCTTGTCAGGCTTTTCCGTGCCGGACTCGATGCCGCTGTCGCTGGGCGAGTCCAGCTTGCGGAATCGCGGACACTGAGGTGGTTGGGGCGTCTTGGACAGAGAGGCGCGGTGGAGGTCGTCGTCACCGGAACTGGTGCTGCCGGAGTTCGCTCGTCGTCTGTGCGGACAGAGGCCTCCGGCTAGCGTGGCGGCGAGCAAGGGTGCACTGGACGCGTGGTGCCCGCTCGCCGGAGCCACGTGGTGGTATTCTGTCAAAGAGGCTACCTCGCCGCTGCAGGTGCTTTCGGTGCTGGACACGCTGCCCAGGGGACTTTTCACGGCTTCGTCCAACGTGACGTCCGAGGCGGATCCCCAGGATGCAGACGGCTCTTCTTCCATCGGCCAGTGTTGCTGCTGCTGTTGCTGCTGTTGTGGCTGCTGCTGGGGTTGTTGAGCACTAATCACGTGTTGCGCTTGCTGCTGCTGCTGCTGATGTTGTTGTTGAGCCTGCATCTGCTGCTGTTGCTCGGTCATCTTGAACGCGAGCAGTTTCTCCGAGTGGAGGGTGTTGAGGGTCCTCAGGTCGGGGATCTTCTTCAGCAACTCTCTCAGGATGTCCGGATGTTGAGGGTGGTTCTGCGCAAGCACGGTTTGTAGCGCGTTGCGTAGCTTGTTGTGCATACGCTCGACCAACTCCGTGTTTCGCAAGCCAGGCCTGTCCGCTGCGATCACCACCACGGAACAGAAGAGACCGAGCTCGGCGTCCGATAGTCGAAGAGAATTCACCCTCTCGGCAAAGTCGAACATCGAGTCCATCAGGAATCTCGCGTTGCTGCTGTTGTGGATTGACTCCCGCTTCAACACTTGCCCGTTCAGGCAGATCATGCTGTTCGTCTGGGCGTCGAACATGCAGGCGAGCCGCACCAGCAACACCTCGAACACACCGGCCTTCAGTAGCGTCACCTGGTCATCCTGTGCCAGCAGGCTGAAGCCAGGAATACGTTTCGCGAACTCCACCACGCCGCGAATAGCCGGCGAGAACCTCTTCGAGAAGTCTTGTAGTAGCTCTTGCTGACCGGTTAACGGTTGAGGGTTAGGGTTCAAGGGGCATGCCTGCGACAAACAAGAGGAAGGATCGCTGCGATTAAAAATTAGTCATGATTCCAGAACGTTTGAAGCTCGTTGGGGAAGACGCGAGCTTCGAGTTGGAAAGATACGCGCGCTTCCTTGTACGAGGCCCGTCGAGGACGACTGGTTTGATTTCCGCGTGAAACGTGGACGTCTCTTCAAGGTTCCGTTGACGTAAGCGCGAAAACGAACTCGCTTGGATTTCGACATAATTCGACGGGAACGTTAATTGACACATCGAGTAATATGTATGGGAGAATAATTTTCATATAATAATTTACACGAATTGTTTTTCTACAATTTTTGCGTTTTGTTTCGAACGGAATACAATAACAGCCACAAATTTAACCATTTGCCTTCCAATATGAAATCAAGCCGACTTCGTATAAAACACGTATAAAACCCAAGTTCAAAGCGACGCATTGTTGCATTATCGATACTAAAGTTCATCGGTAAAATTGCTTTACCGAAATTCGAAAACGGATTAATTAAACGAACGAACGAAAGTTATTTAAAATAGACGCATCGTTGAAAGAGATTTCAAGACAAGGAGGTTTGTGACGTGAAAAACGAAGCTGGCAAAATAAAATTTCCCCGAGAACATTGTCAAAAGGAAAAAACATTTGAAAATTTGTTACTCACCAAGGTTGGCGGACACGCTGTGTAATTCGGTGTCTCCCGAGCCCGGACAAGGATCGGCGCGACTTTGTCCCTGGTGAAATCGCATGTGTCGAGATGGGCCTGGACAACGGTCGTGAGGAGCCGTTGCTCGTCCTCCAGCTCGGCGGCTACCGCCTTCTCCTGCGAACGGCTGTGGGAGCTTTGCTGCATGGCAGCCAGGATCCTGGCCTTCTCACGCTTGGGCACACGGCCGAATCGCACCGCTACAATCCCGAACAAACAGAGAAAAACGGAAAGAACGAGTTAGTAAGATTCATCGGAAAGTCCGATGAATGAGGATCAAAAATACATTGAACACCGAGAAAAAAGGGGGTCGGGACGGGGGTAAAAGCAGAAACGGGCACGAAGGACACGCGTCGATGAATAGTTAATGCGGATCAATGGATGAATCATGCAACGGACACACCGTGCTCGGCGGTGTATCGCTCGCGGCGACCTTCGGGTCGCATCGGTGCCCGCGCGCGCGTCGCTTCGATCCGCGGTCGCGGAAAAACCTGAAAGCGGAACGGTACCGCGAGGTGATGCTGGAATTTTCAGCTGCGCGTCAACTCCGGCGTTCCCCGGCGAGGAAAGTCGGTTTTCGATGATCAGAATTTGAGATTCTCTTGTGAAATTTCTTATCACCGGACACACTGCTCGGCCGGCCGCTTCGGGGAAGAAAGAAGGAAGAAAGAAAGAAACGCAGAGAAAAAAGAAAAAAAACCGAGAGGGGAAAGCGCGCGCACGACTTTCTCGCGCGCGAGAAATGAAAGTGCGGCACCTAACCGTGTTCGCCTCGTGGCTGAGAGTCCTCCGATAGAAAGTCCCCCTCTCGCGAGCGGTGCTCAGCCTGCACCGTGGGGATGCGTGAAAAGGGAACGTGTTTTACGAATTGGCGCACCGAAAAGTTTCGCGTTCGATCGACTCCTGGAATCGTCTTTTCCCTTTCGTTTCCCTATTCCACGGAGACACCTACGTGCATTGTGGTAGTCGACAACTCCGTTGAGGATCCCCTTCAGTATGGGCAACTCGTCTCCCATGACGGTCGAAGAAGCACGCGGGGGATGAAGCGTTTAACTCGTCTTCCTTCCGTTTCGAAACGCGGCAACGATTCGTTTAACAACTGCACTGCGCACGATTCAACTTTTCATATCATCTATGGTCACACCAATGTCACTGCCGGTCGTGCTCGTACGGCGCACCATACGACGAGAACTCCGATCATGTGTATCCCGGCGTTTGATCGGCCCCGGTTCGATCCGGCTGTTTTCCTCTTTTACGTCGCGAGGAAAAGTAAAATAAAAAAAAAATGAAAACAACACGAAGACGCGGAAGAAGATTCCTCTCGGCTGACTACGACGAGTCACTCCGGGCGTGCGACGATTATTCGCGTAAAGCGCGGCGTGGACGGCGCGCCGCCAGACACACACACGCGTGCGCGCACACACACGGTTGGTCTTGTCACGGGGGCCTTTGCACCACGGTGGGCCCGGTGTACGCGGTGTGGGCTCAAGAAAGGAGCGCGACAGCACGACACGTGCGGACGCGAGACAGCATCACCGCCGACTGAGTGATGTTCCGCGGGTTGCGTTCAACAGCCCCTCCACTTATTCAGCCATCAACGACTCCCACCACCCGGCCCCCGGCCACGATTGTGTGGCCTTTGCTGAGCCTTTGGCCTTGAACTTGGTTTCAGCGACAGCCGCACGAGGCGTACCGCCGACCTATATATACTATATAGCCGACGCGAATGTACTTACGCGCGCCGAGCGTCGCGACCACCCCACCAACCACCACCACCACCGATAACCACGCCACGACGGAGAGGGTGCGCGTACCTGTCTATCCGTCTATGTGCGTCTACGTCTATCTCTCTTCGCTCGCGTATACTTCTGTGTACAAGAGAACGATCGGTGTTCTCCTATGACTACATATGGACTAGTCTCTTTGTGTGCTCGTTTCGTTGAATACGACAGAGACGGGGAGACCGTCTGTATATGCAGAAAGGGACGTGTAGATATTAAATGATAGCTAGAGAGAAAGGGAGAGAGAGAGAGAAAGAGAGAGAAACGGAGAAGACGGATAGATCGGTCTCGTTGTCAGAAGTGATTCTCCCGTGCGCAGATGCAAGAGTACCCTATGCCGGGGGTAAGTTACCCTCGACGACCTTGGGCAACCCCTTGGTGCTCTCTGGCTGTTTGCCCTGTCACCAGCTGCTGCCGCGACAGCTTATCCGTTCACGGACGATCGATTCCCTCTCACCGTTGGGTATCGCCGCGATAAGCTCACACTGCCGATCGATCGGCCGGAAACTGTACGATTCGCCATCATCGGTGCGGACACTTCTGGATCCATGGGGCTCTATCCGGAAGCTCGAGCACTGGTTCGGTGGGCGGGTATCGCGGGATCGGACCCGTCGTCGGAAGTGGACGAGGTCATCGCTGGCACGAGCGGCCGCTAAGCAGCGTGTTTCGAATCACGTACGAACTCTACAGGGTCACCGTGAACAATCTTGCTTCGGTAGGCTAGATCGCCTCAAAGGCGGCATGTTCTCTCGACGAACGTGTATCTTCACCGCTAGTGGGCTTTCATGTTTGATCATGTGCCATCGCAGGAAACGTGGCTCAATTGAAAAAGGACGAGCAAACGATCAGACGAAGAAGAGTTCCTCTGCACGTTGATCCGCGCGCCGGTACGACGGTAGCTAGCGCGTACGATCGTGCGGACGGAGCGCAGGCTGGCGCAGGTTCCCCGCGGGAGTCCAGTCGCAAATTGTGCGGCGTCGGAGTCGGGTATGTTGGTTTGGCGGGCCGACCCGAGAGGAGCATGCGCCTGAGCGCCAGGTGGTTCCGAGCGACCCGTGGAGGGGGCAGATGTGTCTTCGTCTCCCTCTCGCGCTCGAGCGAAGGAGGAGAAGTTCCATTGCGCTCGGAGTGGGGAGACGAGGAGTCGCGAGCGAACCGCCCGCGAAGAGGACCGTAGTTCGCGAGGTCTCCGCGTGGAGCGTTGCGCCACGCGACGGCGCGTTGTCACTCGGACCCGTGAACCGGCGGTGGGGGAAGCCCCGACGGGTAGTCGAGAGA